TCTACTTACGAATATTTGAAAAATAACAATAATTAAAGAATATAATGCTACTCGGTTCTTTCCCAAGAGTATTCATCTTAAATCGGGAGATGCACATGCACATGCTACTCGTGCTTTAACTGATACATTTCGGACAACGCCTGTGAATCGCAATGTTAGGTGGCAGTGTCCACCAAATGAAAGTTTTCGCAATAATAATGATGGTTATGCATATTGTGGTGGTGTAATTCGAGACCATGATAAAAGATGGATTGAAGGTTTTTTCAAAACGATTAAGAAATATTCGACTTTGGATGTAGAGTTGTGGGGAATTTTTGAAGGTCTTTCTCTTGATGAAAGATATTTTCTTTTAAAAAAAATATATATTTTATATAATTAAGTTTTATTTTTAAAATATTAGTAAATTATTTAAATTTTATAAATCAGATAAGCATGTATAAATTATAAATATTTTATCCAAAACCTTAATACTGATGATTCGTATATACATAAATTAAGCAATCTTAGTGATTAAGAGATTTGTTATTATTCCTTGAGGTTTTTAAGTTTCAACATCACATATAAAAAAGATATAAATATTTATTATCAAATAACTAGGAGTCTTTCAATATATATTATCTATATTCCCTCTAAATTTATTTTAAAAAAATCATATATACATTAACGTGTGTAGCGGTGAATAACATTATTATTTTTGATATACTGACCCAAATATTATAGAATAATATTATTATTCTATTTTTTGTTACATCATGAAATATATATATAATTATAAATATATTAAAGTATTATTAGTTGTTTTTTTCACATGTCAAGGCCGTCATCAATATCTTGATATTTTTACATTTATATTCATTATTAATTTGGTACATAGAATTAAAAGAATTACATTCTCATGTTCGAACGAAATTTCTTAAGGAATTTACAATGAGACCCAACACTTCAAATATATGAAATTTAATTGTTGAATACGAATGCTTGTGTTGAAAATTCAAATATTTATATAAAAAACTTATTAAAATTATTTTAAAATTTCAATATATATATATATATATTTTAAACTTTTATTTAAATGAAATTTTAATTGAGTTTATTTTAAAAAAAAAACTTATTTTTTTATAGATCTGGAAAATAGGGGTGTTCAAATTCGGGTACTCGGAATACTGGGTACCTGATTCTCCGGATAGAATATTTTTCGGCCCGTGACTCGGTCTGCTAAATCCGGATACTTTGTTCATATTTGTTTAAAAAAACACATAGAAAATACATAAAATTTAAAACTTCATAATACACACAATCCATACACAGAAATTAGTGATTTGAAGTTAGTTATAAGGATAATTTTTTGAATATATATATATATATTAAATTTTATTTCCAAAAGAAAATATTAAAAATATTAATATCGATCGTGATTTTTTCTTTCGAATCTCATTTCGACAAATTAATAAAAAAAATAAAAAAATAAAACTTAAAAGTATATAATACAAACCTAAAAATAATTTAGAGATTTAAATTTAGTTTTAAGGTAAAAATATTAAGGAACCAAAAATAAAAATATAATTTAAACTAATATATATATATATATATATATATATATATTAAAATTACTAGATTGGGTCGAGTACCCGATTATAAAAAAGTTCGGTCCGGAACCGACCCACCTACCCGAGAAAAATCACAGGTCGAGTATCTAACCTGGTCGAATAATTATTTTTAATTATCCGATTTTTAAAATTTTAAACAAATAGATCAACAAACCGCGTTAATGAATCATATACTTTTGAGAACCCCTCCGAAAACTTCGTGGACCTTAAGCCTAATTCATTTTTTTCCAATAGAAAATTATTGGGTAATCACCTCTTGCTTTTCGTCAATGTGAGAGACAAAGACTTGATATCAAAATTTCCAACAAGCTAGGACACGTTTCTTTCTATGGACTGGAAATTTTCCAACTATAGTGTAAACACACTCAGTTCTATGCCCACGGTCTACTTACGAATATTTGAAAAATAACAATAATTAAAGTTTATAATAGAAATATATAAGTTCATGTATTTTTTAAAATATTTTGTATTTAAGTTTTATTTTTAAAATATTTTTAAATTATGTAAATTTTGTAATTCAAATAAGCAAGTATAATTTATAAATATTTTATCCATAAATGATTCATATGTACACCGACCAAGAAATTTTAATAGTGGAAGGATTTTAATAAATGTTTTGAAATTTTAAATTCAAGTATCCCATGTATAAGAATATGAGTGTTTATTATCAAAAGATTAAAAGTATTTAAATATTTACTACCTTATATTGACTCTGAATTTATTTAAAAAAATCATATATACATTGGATTGTAGCGGTGAATAGCATTATTATCTTTTGATATAATGATCCAAATATTATAGAATAATAATATTCCCTCTTTCTCATAAAATGTCCATTATTGATTTTTTGGGTTAATTTTTTTAAACTTTGACTAATTATGATTCAAAATTTATAATTGATAAAAATATGTAAAAATATATTTTAGAAACCTTCAATCAAGTAGTTTGTAAATATATATTTTATAAAATTTAATTATTTAAAAAATCATGATTAAAGTTTAAATTTTTTTATTTTTAAAAAATCAATAAAAGACAATTTTTTATAGAACATAGAGAGTCTTTTTTTTACATTATAAAAAATATATTTATAATTATAAAATATATTATTAGTTGGTCTTATCACATGTCAAGCTCGTCATTAATATCTGGAAACTTGGTGGAACTTAAACCTAATTCCCTTTTTTTTCCAATAGAAAATTATTGGGTCCTCTTGCTTTTCGTCAATGTGAGAGACAAAGACTTAATATCAAAATTTCCAACAAGGTAGGACACGTTTCTTTCTATGGACTGGAAATTTTCCAACTATAGTGTGAACACAGTCGATTCTATGCTCACGGTTTACTTACGAATATTTGAAAAATAACAATAATTAAAGTATATAATAGAAATATATAAGTTCATGTATTTTTTTCTAAAAAATTCTGGTGTAAATAAAATATTTATTAAATGTTAAAAATAATAAAATACAAGAATATTTGTAACCCTAAATTCATTTATAAGAGGTAATAATAAATCTATTCCAACAAAACTTTTTTGCTTTCAATCAAAAGTTAACCGAAGAAAAATATTTCTTTACAAATTAGATGTGCCTATAAGTCTATACTCCACTCTTTAACTTCACTTTTCTTTTAGTGTTTTTTTCTTTCTTTATCAAATCAATTATATTGTAATTTTTTTAAAAAAATATCCAATTTATGTAAGTATGAGTGGAGCCTCAATGATGAATGAATTTCTGGGAAACATGAGGGGTGGTCCCTTTCGTTGTAGTATATAATGGGTTAACAGTATCGGCCACAAAAGCATAAGACATAGGTGATGAGTGAGCAGATGGAGTGGAGATGGTGGGCTATGGCTCTGTTGGCGTTTTTAATGTTGGGGTGGTGTGAGTGTTGCTTGGAGGAAGAACGAGTCGCTCTCTCCCGACTCAAACCTTTCTTTCCTCTCATTGATGTTACAGACACAGGGTTTGGCTATTACTGGCCGGTAGAGGAAAAAGAAACTTCATTAAACTGCTGTGAATGGGCGAGGGTTGAGTGCAACCCCACCACCGGACGAGTTATCAAACTATTTCTTGATGCAGCACTGGAGTATGATTCGTATGGTAGAGTTCCTTGGTATTTGAATGCTTCGTTATTTCTTCCTTTTCAGGAATTAAAGAATCTCTCCTTGGGATCAAATTACATTGCTGGTTGTGTTGCCGACCAAGGTTCATTTCTTTTCGATTTCATTATCACTTCAATTACTTATTTTTATTAATTTAATCTCTCTCTTTTTTTTTATTCTTTTTAGGTTTCGAAAGGCTGTCTTCGAAATTAAAGAAATTGGAGATACTTTATTTAAGTGAAAATTATTTCAATGATAGCATTTTCATGTCCTTAAGTGAACTTTCATCCCTCAAGTTTTTGGATTTATCATACAACTTCCCATTGACAGGATCGAATCATACTAATGGTAAAGTCATATTTAATTGTTATAATGTCAGAATTTACCCTTAACGTTTGTCTGGATAATGACTTTGATTCATATATTTGTTTTAAATCACTTTAATTCTTAATGTTTTGATTTTGGTCAAGTTGGTCCCTTCTTTCTGATGAAAATAGTAACTGTAGGTCAATGTTTGTTGTTGGCATGTTTAATTGCTTACATGATATTTTTACACTCACTTAAAAACACTTGACATGTGTCACTGTCAAATCAACCACAAGCGTTAACCATTAGTCAACTAACAATTTCATAAAAAAAAACATTTTGATCAATAATAAAACATTGAAAAATAAAAATATTTTAAGAAAAATAGGGGTCAAATTAATTATTTTACCAAACTCTAAGGACAAATTTTGTCACTTATTATACCAATGCTTCTCAATTCTTTTTTGGCGGTCCTTCATATTTGGGTGCAGGTATTAAGATGCTATCAAGATTGAATAATTTGGAGACTTTGATTTTATCTCGTAACAGCTTAAGTAACAACATCCTATCACAATTACATGGTTTTACTTCTTTAAAATCATTGAATCTACAGTATTGTGGATTAGAAGGAACTGTTGATTTACTGGGTAAGTTTTATTTTACAATCCCATGCTTGATTTGGGGAATTTTTTTATTATTATGGTGCTTGATTTAAAATAATTGGATTGAGGTTGAATTCATGGATTTCAACAGAATTCAGTACTTTGAAAAATTTAAAGGAATTGTATTTAGGCTACAATGGGATTGAGAGCTTGGGATCTTCGTTCCAAGGTACTTCACTTAGCTCTATAAATTGTTTTCTATTTTATTTAATTATATAATATTTAAAACTTATGTAATACGTCAAATATATAATATTATTTAATTATTCTAATCAAAGTTTAAATTGGTTTAATAAAAGAAATCAAATTAATAATACGACAGAATCAAGGCTGATGAATTTGGAAGTGCTTTATTTGCGGGGGAATCGCTTCAACAATAGCATATTGTCATCTCTTGGTAGGTTTCCGAATCTGAGGTCTTTGTCTCTTGGAGGTTCTGAATTAAAAGGATCAATAGATATTAAAGGTAAGATTGTCTCTCTTTCTTTCAATTACACCCTCATTTCATATTTCTAAAATTTTATAAGTAAATGGATTAAATTTCAAAAGTTCGAAGAATACAAGGATTAAAGGTAAAATTAAACCAACTGAATTATATCACGATTTCTTAATCTTGTCAGAATTAGTTGGCTTGAGAAGCTTGGAGGAGGTGGATATCCTCTGCTATTCAGGTACTGCTAATAAAAAATTATAGGTTTATAAATCAACATAAATTTAAATTTGTTAGTTTAATAATTTGAAATGTTGTTTTTAAAAAATGTAATTGGAATTTTCTAAAGAAATAAAGTAATTAAAAAATGTACCATTTCGTGTAGGTTGTAGCCTTCTGCTACAATCATTCGGCTCATTTCCATCGTTAAAGACTCTTTCTTTGGGAGGTTTTAGTTTTAATGATACGATGGTGACATCCGATTTTCCAAACAGTAAGTTATGATATTCAACATTGCTTTAATTCATTATATATATAATTTTACAAACTTAGAAGAGTTGGTCTTGAAAGGTTCTGTTGGAAGTCCAAGAGAATTTTCTTCTTTGAAGCATTTGGGGTTGTTCGGGTGTGAGATCAGCCAAAACTTCACTCTACAACTTTCTTCTTTGAAGCATTTGGAGTTGTCCTCATGTGAGATCAGCCAAAACTTCACTCTACAACTTTCTTCTTTAAAGTATTTGGAGTTGTCCTCGTGTGAGATCAGCCAAAACTTCACTCTACAAGGTAATTTGAACCTTTAAATATATATAAAGAAAAAAAAAAGAGTAGAAATAAATGTACTTTTACTTCCATTTTTTTCTCGTAAAAATAATTTTATTTCCTAAAATTTTCAGTAACATATCATCCATTTGATATATTTCAGCATTTCAATTGAAGAATTTGGAGTCTTTGGACATATCATATACTCCTCTTGCAAATAACTTTCTTGAAAAAATTGGTGCAATGCCTTCTCTCAAGTTTCTAAGGATAGATGATTGTGGACTCAATGGCACCTTACATGTCCAAGGTAAAATTGTCTTTTCATATCCAAAATTTGCTTCCAAATAGAAAAAGGATAAATTATACTAAATATCACTTAACTTTTAATTGATTCAATTTATAGTATTGGACATTGGTTTTGATTTCAATTATATCATTGGGCCGTTAAAATTCAAACAATGTGATGACATGGACAAAACGAAATCGTTTTGATGCGGCTATTGATGGCTCAAACGATGTTGTTTTGTTTTAGGCACTGAGCTTTAGGGTATATTGATTTTGTCACTAAACTTTTAAACATTTCACTTTTTGTCATTGTACATTCCTAGATGTGGCCGACAAGCAATCACTACCCGTCATCTGTCATCTTTCATGGCAAGATCTGTACCAAAGTGTTCGTATTTTATTCCTCTTTCTTCTTCTAGAATTAGTTTTCCACAGGACTCACTCAAAATCGATGAAATTAAATAAAAAAAATTACTATTTTTATGAATTTGGGGGAATTTATTAGATTTGAGTGATTTGAGATGTTTGTTTGAAAATCCAAATGGTGAGAAGTATTATTTCGAGAAGATGAACAATACTTCAAAACTATCCTTATTGGACAGTCATCAGAAGAGATCATGTATTAGCACGTTGAACTTTTAAATGAATTTTCATCGATTTTGAGTGAGTTTCTTGAAAAAACAATCCTATGAGAAGAAAGAGGAGTGAAATGCAAACATTTTGGTACCGATCTTGCCGTAAAAGATGATTGATGATGAATGATGATTGATTGTCGATGGTAACAGAAAAAGTGTAGTGGTAAAAAGTTAACTATTTAAAAGTTTTGTGACAAAATCGATACACCCTTAAAGTTTAGTGTCTAAAACGATGTGTTTTAGGCATCAATAATCGTCGCCCAAACGATGTCATTTTGTTTACGTCATCACAGCAGCATAAACATATGTCCACATCATCGTTTCTTAAAATTTAATGACACATGCAGTGGCATAATTGAAGTTAAAACCGAAGTTTAATAGTATAAATGATACACCACTTAAAGATCAGTTGCATCTTATATAATTAACCCTAGAAAAAAATGTTAAGTAATTTATTTATTTAATTTTGATATTATATTTCATGTACAGGTTTTTGTGATTTGATGAATGTTCGAGAATTGGATATAGCCTACAATAATTTAACGGGTAATTTGCCCGAGTGTATTTCCAACTTCACATCTCTCGAAAGTTTGGATCTGTCTTCAAATCAGTTATATGGAAAAGTATCTGCCCTTAAGAGTTTAACATCCCTTGTAATGTTGAGGCTTTATGATAATTACTTTCGAGTCCCAATCTCGTTGGAACCTTTCTTCAACCTTTCAAAGCTCAAGTTTTTTGATGCGGACAACAATCTCATGTATGTTGAAAGCGAGATGCAATCCTTGGTCCCAAGATTCCAATTGAATCAGATCAGCTTATCTTGTTGTGGAGATGTTGGACAATTTCCTGCATTCCTCTACCACCAGCATGACTTGCAGTATGTTGATCTCTCTAATGTCAACTTAAAAGGGAAATTTCCAAATTGGTTGTTGCAAAACAACACAAATTTAGCAAGTTTATCACTTGCCAACAACTCTCTCATCGGACCTTTTAAGTTATCTTTCTTTCCACAAACAGAATTACGACGGTTGGATGTCTCAAAAAATTTCTTCTATGGCGAAGTTCCAATTGAAATAGGGGAAAAACTACCATCACTGAGGTTTTTGAACATGTCAAAAAACCATTTTCACGGTACCATTCCTGCTTCGATTGGTGATATGAATTACCTGGAAGTCTTGGACTTGTCAGACAATCAATTGTCCGGTGGACTGCCAGAGGGTTTGACCCTGGGATGCTCTTCATTAAATTACCTTGCACTGTCAAACAACAGATTGCAAGGGCAGATGTTCTCTTCAAAGTTCAACCTCACAGAATTGTTTCAGCTGCGTTTGGATGGGAATCATTTCTCAGGAAAAATCCCAGATTCTTTGTCTGATTGCTCTTCGTTGTCTGTATTGGATTTAAGCAATAACCATATTTCTGGGGAGATTCCAAATTGGATGGAGAATATGTCACAGTTGACAACCTTGGATTTAAGCAATAATGAGATTTCTGGTGAGATACCAAGGTGGATGGGGAATATGTCAAGATTGGAACATATTGCGATGGCGCAAAATCATCTTGAAGGTCCATTCCCGGTGGAGTTTTGCAATCTTAATCTTCATCTTAAACTTTTAGACCTTTCGATGAACAATATTTCTGGGCATGTTCCATCATGCTTTAGTCCATTATGGATCAATCAAGTTCATTTATCAAGAAACAAGCTACAAGGGCCAATCACAAATGCTTTCCGCAACAGCAGCATCTTGGTGACATTAGATCTCAGTAACAACCACTTGACTGGAAAAATTCCGAATTGGATTGGCAACCTTTCTCAGCTGAGCTATCTTCTTCTAAACAACAACCATTTTGAAGGAAAGATTCCACTTCGGTTATGCAATTTGGATCAATTAAGCTTGATTGATCTTTCCAATAATAATCTTTCAGGTACTGTTCCATCTTGCTTGATGATTACAGCATTTGTTGAAGTATCTCAAGAATATGTTCGTTATGTCGCTGCTGTTGCGTATAATCAGACTTCATTCTCCACTGATGATCCGATACAGTTCACATCGAAAAACAACTCATACTTTTACAAGGGAAGACTCCTTGCATACCTGTCTGGCATCGATCTCTCTTGCAACAAGTTGACAGGTGAGATTCCCCACCAAGTGAAGAACTTTCAGAATATCTATGCATTGAATCTGTCTCACAACCGTTTGATAGGATCAATCCCACCGACATTTTCCGATTTGAAGAAAATCGAGAGTTTGGATCTTTCCCACAACAACTTGAGTGGTACAATCCCTCCACAACTTGTGGAGTTATATAGCTTGTCTTATTTCAGTGTAGCTTACAATAATTTGTCCGGAAGTACACCGGTAATGACCGCACAATTTTCAACATTTGAGGAAAGCAGCTACGTTGGAAATCCTCTTCTCTGCGGTAAACCATTGCCGAAGAACTGCTCACCATCCGAACCACCACCATCGTCATTGCCGAAGGGGTCAACCGACAACGACTTGATCGATATGACGGCCTTCTATGCGTCTTTCGTTGCATCTTATGTTGTGGTGATACTGAGTATTGCGAGTGTGCTTTACATTAATCCTTACTGGAGAAGAGCATGGTTCTATCATATAGGAGAAATCAGCAAATGTTGCTACTATTTCTTGGAAGATCATATTCTGCCTAAAAGATTTCTCAGTGGAAATTAATATGTAAGATTTCTCTACTCTATTTCCTGATATAGTTGTTTATTATCCTCCAATTAATCAAGGTAGTATTTGTTTAAAAATCTTTTTTAACTATTGATATTGTACACATCTGCAGACACAACTGTTTGAATTCAGGATCTCTAGGAGGAATAACATTCTCTTCTACCACTGAAATCATTTAATGAGTTCAAGAAGACATTAACTAAATGTATGAATATAAAGATATTATATTATATTTTAGGATGACTATGATTTTATAATATTAATTTTGAGGATGATATCAATTTTATGATTAAATTGAGTATGATGGAATTATTTTTTATGAGAATAAAATAACTTTTATTATGACAAATTAAATTTATTCTATTTTATTTTTTTTACATTTCATTTACTGATTTTTCTACTCGTTACTAATATTTTCATCTTGCAGTAATGCATCTTGTGATCTTACCAACAGTTATTATTTTATATGATAGAAGTTAGAACCATGCTCGTCAATATATGCATCTTGTGATGTTACATACGATGAAATATATATGTGTTGTACATACTTATAGAAAACTGTTTAAATTAGAATCAAATGATACCATAATATTGACGATATAACCAGCGAGGTCGAAACAAGGCTCTTGAACTGAAGATATGGGATCCATACACAAGTGTAGAAAATCAGGGCCGCCATGCATGAACCCGAGTTAGAACACAGTAGAGAAATCATCTTCTTCTTCTTTTTCTTGTTTGTTAAAAGCTCCGTCTCAAAGAAACAAATTCAGTAGAGAAACCTTTATATAGGGAGTGGAGTTCAAAGGGGTGAATAAACATAACATGCAAGTGTTCCCCGGATACTCTGGTTTGAGCAAAGGTTTTGACTTTTCATTTGTTTAATGAGAAGGGCTGTTATGAAACTGTGAATTCGGCGAGAGTGAAGGGCCGGCGCCGACCCCACATCCTCTGAGTCTGCGCTTTTATTTTATTCGGGAAGAACCCACGCTTCCAGCCAAAGCGATAACCGAAACATGATACCTTCTTCTCGGATTCGAGCATAACTTCTAAAAATAAATGAGATTTAGGGATAATGGAATGAATGGTCCCTAGATTATTGTAAATCTTCCCTATGCGTACTTATGTTTCTAAAATGGTACATGGCCTCTAATATTGTCAAATATGTGAAATGACATGCAGCCTCTTTGATCCAAATTTAGACATGTCACATTGCATAGTGATATCACATGTCATTATAAATAATTAATTGTTTTATTAATGTCTATTAAATTGAGTGATAATAAATTTAATATCTGTTAAACAATAAATATATTTTAATATAATGGATAGATAATTTTACTCATCAACTCTTAATATAGACGGAATCTATGTGGTTATCGGACCAAAAAAATGATTTGTAGAGGTTATAATGTACTATCTATTTAGATTATTTTTTAATTATTGATAACGTCTATATATAATAATGGGTGTAGGCTTTGTTCAGTGTAGACACATGATCATCTTAAAATTTAAATTCTGTTATATTAATAGTTTATTTTACTGAAGATGTTCATCCTAAAATTTTATTTATATCTATGTCATATGAAATATTTATGTTATTAATATATGCATTTACTTTAAAAATATTCTTGAATATGCTACTCTCTACATATTCTATAAATATAACTACACCCTTAGGACAACCGACACTTGGACATTATGTTCCACGTCACGTGTTGTTACGCAGAGCCAGCAAAGGTACTGCGGGAAGAGTATATATTTTTCGATTATTCGTGCGGATACCTAGATTCGTGAATCAATGAGATCGGGCTTTGGAAGGCTATCAAATTGAATGGGCGGTGGCCGAATCTTGGTTTTTTGACAGATCTTAAGGATTTCACTGCAATTATACGGAAAGTTCTATGATACGAAAATCTAATTTAAGATTAAGAGACGATAAGAGGAACGTAATTAAAAATATGATAAAAATATAATATTTTAAATTATATTATTTAAAATATTATACTTTTTTAATATTTTTGTTTGAATTTAAAATATTATGAAAAATATAATATTTTTTATTGTCAATAAAAAATGTTATAAAGAAGTTGACATTTTAGATTCAACCAAAAGTGTTAGAAAAATAAAAAAATTTAAGTTACGTTCAACATAAAATATTTTTTATCACATATTCATTTATGTCTATTTCTGCAGTTTTTTAGCCTTAAACTAAGTTGTTCCTTAAACTCTCCCTAATTACACCATCTATATTCTTCTTAAAAAATGATAATTCTAAATATTACTTTTAAAAAATTATATATTTATAATATATTTTAAATATTTATTTTTAAAAATATACTATATAATTTAAACAAAACCTAACATCATCATATCTCAAGAGACAAAGGCTCATAAATAATATTTACTTTTTTTAAAAAAAATAAATATTTATAATATATTTTAAATATTTATTTTAAAAATATACTATATAATTTAAACAAAACCTAACATCATCATATCTCAAGAGACAAAGCTCATAAATATATGCAGAGATGATAACTAATCAAGTTAAATCAGGTTGAGTTTTCAATCCAACCTGACCTAACACAAGAAATATGCTCTTTCATTTATTTATTTTTGAGTTTAGACAAGTTTTATTTGATCTTAAAATTGATCCAAATTTTAATGTAAAAATTTATATTCGATCATACTCGACACAAATATAAAACGTATTTTCATTCGACAAAAGAGGTATCTATTGGACAATATATATAAGAGAAAATCGCCTCAGTGACCAAAAAAAAGTTATAATATACGATTTTAACCAACTTTTTTTGGATTTGCCAAAATGACCAACAAAATCGCAACGCGAAATAAAAATCGCAACGCGATCCCCAGAATCGCAAATCAGTTTCCAAAATCGCAACGCGATTCTTGAAAATCGCGATGCGATAGTACAAATTCGCATTGCGATTTTCAATAATCGCAACGCGAATATGAAAATCGCAACGCGAACACATAAATCGCAACGCGTATCCGTAAATCGCAACGTGTATCCGTAAAATCGCAACGCGTATGGGTAAATCGCAATGCGTATCCGTATATCGCAACGCGTATCCGTAAATCGCAACGATAATACATAAAATCGCAACGCGTATCCGTAAATCGCAACGTGTATCCGTAAATCGCAACGCGTATCCGTAAATCGCAATGCGTATCCGTAAATCGCAACGCGTATCCGTAAATCGCAACGATAATCCGTAAATCGCAACGCGTATCCGTAAATCGCAACGATAATCCGTAAATCGCAACGAGAATCTGTAAATCGCAACGATAATCCGTAAATCGCAACGAGAATCTGTAAATCACAACACTGAAATTTTGGGTATATAACACTGAAATCATAAACTAAATCCCTAAATCGCAACTCATTCCATCTCCATCTATCACTCTCTCCGGCGACATCCGTTCCTATATCCAACGACATCCTTCCCAATCCGGCAACAGGTTTTAGTTTCGCAGCTCGTCTGTTTAGTAAATTAATTTACAACCATGAAATCATCTGATCATGTTTGGATAGATTTGTGTTTTGGAGGGTCATGGGATAATGTTCATGGTGTTTTACAATATATGCCTTTACCCATGAATCTTCAACTAAAATTGTCTTTACAAAAGTTAACTTATGAAACTCTAATGCTACGTGTTTCAAATAAATTGAATTTAGAGCCCCTAAGTGGATTTAGGCTATCTTATCAGAGAAATGGTAAAGTTTATTTGTTAACCGACAATGAAGATGTTGAACGATTCATTGCTTACATTAGTGTTTCACAAGATGATGTTACATTGTATGTTGTTGAACCTAGAAGTAGTATTGTTGGGTCAGTAGCGGGTAGTAATCAACTAAGTTTTTCTCAAAACCCACAACCTTTCTCTAATCCAAATCCCAATCAACTTTCAGCACCAAATTCCGGTTTTCGTATTGACCAGTTAGACGATGATGAGCCAACAGAAAAAATTGTGAGTACTAGTCAGTATTCGAAATTTGGTCTTGGTCAATATCCGGACTTTGATATTGGTCAATACACGGATTTTGATGATGTTTCAGAAGAAGAAACAGACCATGTGTGTAATGATTTTAATATTGGTCAATACCCGAATTTTGATGATGAAACACCCGTTGCCGAGGAAGATGTTGTTGATGATAATGAGGAGGAAGTTACGACTGTGAATGAACATGTTGAACATCCATTCTGTAATTCATATAATCCTGAAGAAGAAAGAAGAAGAAAAGTCCCCGAAGAAAAGAAAATGCCACGGGAGTATAACTGGAATATGCCAGAATTACTTCAGTTACCGGAAGAAGAGTTGGCAAAGAAAGCAGTTGATTGTTACACAAAAGTTATTCGTGTCAAGAAAGATGATTGTTTTGATACAAAGGAAGATTGAAGATAGCTTTGTATACAAAATGTGTGGAAGATGGCTATCAACTAAAAGTTAACAAATCAAGCAAAGATCGTTTCGAAACAAGGTGTATGATTGACAAAAACTGTACGTGGCGTATGATTGCAAAGAGAATAAAAGATTGCAAAATGTTTCAAGTTAGGACTTTTATTGATAAACATACATGTTCAAGAACCCAAGTTTTTCCTCACCATAGACAGGCAAACAAAAAGGTGTTGGGTGGTTTTCTGGCTGAGTTAATGTTTTTGAATGGCAGGGTATATCGGGGACATGAAATTATGACTGACATGAATGCTCGGTTCAAGATTAGTATATCATATTCTCAAGCTTGGAGAGCCAAATGTTATGCCTTGGAATTGTTGAGGGGGTCGCCAGAAGCATCGTTTGCCCAACTGCCGGCTTATTGTCACAATTTAAAGCTGAAAAATCCTGGGTCGGTAACTCATATCAAAACAGATAGAGATGGACGCTTGAGTTGCTGTTTATCGCCATTGGTGCTACGGTTAGTAAATCAATATAATTTTGTTGACTCATTTTTGTTAGTTACATGCATTTCACATTTAAATGATTATATTTCTTGTGTATATTATTTTGTAGATTCGTTCGTTTATTACTTGCATGCGCCCAGTTATTATAGTTGACGGAGCACATTTGAAAGGTCGATACCTTGGAGTAAACTTATTAGCAGTAGCCATGGATGCTAACAATGGGATATTGCCAATAGCTTACGGGTTGGCAAATCTGAAACCTCTGATTCATGGACATGGTTTATGGGGCATCTTAGGGATTGCATAGGTCCTATTAGCAATCTGACAATCATATCCGATAGGGCAAACTCAATGACAACGCTGTTAGAAGGTGTTTCCCAGATGCTTTTCATGGACTTTGTGGTGTTCATTTGTATAGAAATCTAAAATCAAGGTCTGCTGGTATAAAAAAGCACAAATGGACATACTGGAAGGCTGTAAAAGCTTATCGGGAAGTGGATTTCAATAAGCATATAAATTGTTTAAGACGTGTTTGCCTCAGTGTGCTCAAACACTAGAAGATGTCGGGTTTGAAAGATGGTCAAGAGTACATCAACTTGGAGCAAGATATGGTTTCATGACGTCTAATAGTGCAGAATCAATCAACGCTCTAAGTCGTCATTCCCGGAAATTACCCATTACTATGTTAATGGAGTTTTTTCGAGCCTCTATTCAACAGTGGTACTACAAGAAAAGAAACCATGCAGGTATTATTTCTTTGAATTCGTAACTTATCATATTTATATATTTTACTAAGTATTGTTTATTTAAATTTACAGGAACATTGGAACATCGTGTTACACCATGGACTGAAAAAAAGATAACGAAACGTGTTGTGAAGTCAACGTCATGGAGAGTTGAACCATGTTCAAACACTTTGTTTCAAGTACTGGATAATAACTTAAATGGGCTAGTCGATCTAAATGCAAAGACGTGTAGTTGTATGAAATGGCAAACATCTGGTTATCCGTGTGGCCATGTTATAAAAGTTGCTCTTCATTTAAACCAAGATGATTCAAGCGCATACGCTATGGATTGCTACACTACAGAAGTTTATCGACAGACTTATGCCGAGATTGTCTACCCTATTCCACATCCTTCTGAGTGGGACATACCAGATGACTTACAAACAGTTTTGCCACCAGCCATGGACAGAAGGCTACCTGGCCGACCAAAAAGTCACGATCGTATACCGTCTAAGGGTGAAGAGAAGAAGAGATCGACATG